ACTCAGCATTTTATTACACATTAAAAGTGTCTTACTTCCCACATTTAGCATTTTCATTACACCCTAGGAGCAATCAAGTTTTTTAGTTTTAATTTATTAAGTTATTTATCTTTAGTTCAGTGTAGTTGGGTTTATTTCCAGATTGGGGTTTCCTCGTTATTATTTTATGTTTTAGTTTAGCTTCTTATTAGACTGAGAGTTGTGTTTCTGTTTTATATTAGTATGGCAGAGGCAAGATTAAAGTTCAGAATAAACACAACAGAAGCACATCGCTTTGTCAAAGAAGGTATCTCACAGTCATGTTTCATATGCCAGAATTCCTTTCTTGAAATTACAAATTCGACCAAGCTGACAAAGTTATTTCCTACAATATTTCCTTTGAGTTTTCATTTGATCTCAGTGACTAATATTCTAATATTCTATTATATTCTATTGCCTCAGAATGGCATAAAATCATAATCTGCTTCAACCGGTGGGTGATAGAAGCAAAGGACATGATTTCAGTATAAGCTGCCAGTATTATCCAACATGATCTGACAGCAGCTCATTTACAGTTTTATGGAATGTGAGGCTGTTTAGAAAATCTGGAAATGTAACACACAGGGTTTGAGCATATCATATGATTATAGTTTATCATGTTGTGGTGTATCATTGAATTATTGTACAGTTAAATCCTTTCATCTGACTTACTTTAGTGCCCACATGGAGTAGAACCATTGGAAAGTATTTTTGAGTGCATATCCTGATCCTTACATAACTTATTCCCATATTTGTTTGTGTTTTTGTAAAAATTCCATAAAATGTTTTTTACAAAAACATAAAAAAATGAGGCATTCAAAGTCAAAATGAACCCTTTATTCAATTTCATAGAAAACATCTGTTTACAATGTAATCAGAACAGAACGACAAGTCCTTGTGATCACAAGAGAAAATAGTTATAGGAACTCACACTACCAGCAGGAAAGGAGTAGCTCCCATTGCACAGCAATGTTTCCTGTCTTTTTTCACACAGAAAGCAAGTAAAAGTAGGGACTGAAACTATCACTGACTACCAGTCAAATACTGTAAAAAGAAAAAGTATGTTGTGCCATGTAGATATGTAGATTTAACTTGCGACTTCAGCATAAAACAAGCCTGTGTGCTGGCTTAGGTTTATTCAACAGCATGCTCTAGAGTTACAATAAACTGTATGTGTTTCTTTATTAACCAGAGCACAGCAGAGGTCTGCAAGCATGAGATAACTCCAGGGTTTAAAAGTGTTTTTTTAAATGTAAGACTCAAAACATTTAATGCCTGTTTTCAGTGAACCTGTTCGTTATCTCCAAATTCCATTTCCTGTTAGAAAAGACTGTAAACAAACATATTGTACTGTAGTGGTTGCGGATGTGTTGAAATGAGCATTTAATCTGAACATTTCCAAGTGTATATTCGTCTTATAGTAGTCTAAGCAAAGCCCGTTCATTTTCCCTAATCTCTTCACAAGATGGGGTAGCTAGCGAGGTTGGTGATGCCGCAGAGGTTGCCACGGTTACGTGCCATCAGGATGTATCCCTTGTTGCCCCATTCCTCACCCCAGCTGTGAAGAAAAGACAAAAGATAGAGTCAAGATGGAACGACAGAGACAATGAAATATCGCCAGGAGTCAAACAGCATTTCAGCTTATAATTTTGACAGATGACATGAAAACAACAACCAACCAACACTTAATTTTAGTGGACATTTGAGCCACCTGATGCCATTCAGACAAGTGACATGTCCCACCTGTTCTTGACAATCCAGTACTTCTTCCCCTTGGTGTTCACTCCATAGCCTACTGCCAGTACGGCATGATTGACGTCATCTTTGTTACAGTTGGGATCGTAGTAAACACCTGGGTTCACAACAGAGAGAGAGAGAAAAAAGAGTGAGCTGCATTAGTGAACTGTGCATAAACGATGTACCTCGCACACTTTTTAATGCTGAATATAACCAGAAAGCTGTTGATGTGTTATGTTTAATTGTTTTACTAGTTTTACTAGGTGTGAACTCCATGTTTAGGTGATTTAATTCATACTTAATGAAGAAATCCTGACTAAACAGGCCCTTAAATTCTAGGATTTTATTCAACACACTTTCCTTCCCTTATATGAAGTAGGTGCAGATAATAATTTCATCTGACCAGACATATGAGAAGTTCACTGACCATGCTTGTAGAACTGGAAGCTGCTCTGTTGTGCATCAATGCCCACAGACACTGGACCAACTTTGTAGAGTGCAACAGCCAGCGCGCGCTCATTACCCACTGGGATCTCCTTGTAGCCTTTGCACTGGGCTGCCATGCCTGATGCATTGTAGCGGCAGGTCTGATCCTGCAGGCAAGACAAAGGAGGAGAAAATGCTAAAACCGTTTGTTGCCCATTTTAAAAGTGTCAATTCTTGAAATTTAAGATGCTACTTTTCATGTCCTTACCTCACAGTGTAATCATATTTAGGTAGAATATCGAATTTTAATCCAATGGTTACTACTGATTAACCGACAATAAAAGAACGTTAATAATTGCTGTATAAAATCAATAGTCAAAATACTTGCTATGCAAGGTTTTAGTACCTTGTGACTCTTCTGTCACATGTTATATCACATGATGTGTTTGGTGCAATTCCAACTAGCCAAACAATAGAGAGACGGCAGATTTTTATCATTACCGAGCAGATGTACTTCCTCCTCATATTACCAAATGACTAAAGAGGAAACTATGCTCACTCTGTGGGAGAGTTTCCACTTCATCATTTCTGCTGAATCACCTCCCTCTGGTAAGATGTTTGCAGCTACTTTACTGTCAAAATGAAATATTTTCTTCCTCGTTGCATGTTGTTGGTGAAGCGTGTGAAGGGGACAAACGTGACACCCTCACAGCCAAGTGAGAACCTCTTCACCATCTATGCATCTGCAGCTAACAGCTGATTACTGGGTATTATTTATAACAACTAGGTTAAAAGACTTTTTGTGCAAAGCTTGTTTGTAAGAGTGTGTTACCATAACAACTTCGAGCTTATCTTAAGTACTGGAAGAGGTGGGGCAATCACTCATTTAAAAAACAACAAACACCAACTAAATTATACTTGTTTATTACTTTAAAAACCCCCGCTTGACTGCTTTGGACCATCTTGCCTTTATGTGTTCAAGCACCCAGTGATATTAAAATATAAGTGCTTAGTTTATAAAGAATGTGGCACTCACGACATGAAATGAACTGAAGTGAAAGGCTCAGATTAATAAGCTACTTCAAGTTTAGTTGTGTGTTTGGCAGAGTGGGTTGCTCACCTGTCCAACATATGGGTAGGCCGCTTCAGAGTCAATACCTCCATTTTCATTCACATACTGGAAGGCATTGGTCATGTAGCCTCCTCCACAGCCGTCGTTCTCTGTAACACAGTCCACCAGGTTCTGAGGACTGAGGTCAACGAGCTGCCCGGTCTGCTTGGCCAACTGCCCCTCAAGGGCCCCGGCAGAGCTAAAGGCCCAGCAGGAGCCACAGGAGCCCTGTCAGGGGTCAAAGAAAGACTGGTGAGCAAGAGGTTTAGTTTGATATGTACATACCACTGTGACTGGACTGTTGCTGACAACAGTAAGAGGAAACTAAGCCGACATGGAAGCTATAATCAGCAGAAATGTAAGAAACCCAGACCAGACCAGAGTTGGTAGGAAACAGGAATAAATGTGCACATTGTAAGGAAATAAATACCCAGCTGTTCTGATAGGTATTATTGTTTAAGCAAACCATTTGCAGAGAGCCTGTTTTTTTCCATAAAATAATCAGTCATCAAGGAATAACAGCATATTTAAACCATATTAAGGAGAATCATTTAAACAAATTATATCAACATCACAGCAAATGCTGTGTCTTCTCCTGTCTGTCCACTGGGAGGCAGACTGTGACCGCATTGACAAAGAAAGAAAGCCATTTCTGTTTGCTGATCGAAATTCTGTAACTGCTGTGAATTTGGGTTGTAAATAGAATCAGCTGCTGGGCAGTTTATGGTGTTCAGTAATGTTGAAACAGTGTTAATGACACACAGTGAGAAATGGTCTTTTTTACAGGTCTGGACTGACACATCCAGCGCTAATGAATCACTGACACCGCCATCGTGTTTGGCTTTCACCCAGGAAACAGGGACTTGCTGTAATATAGATGAACGTTTATGTTGAATTTAAATGAAAAGGTTATTCTTGTTAACATGTGTTGGGTGTAACTAATGCTTCTGTGCCTGAAAAGGAACAGATCCCTTTCCCTGCATGTTATGAACAACCTCCCTGGAGGAGTGCATGATGTAATAACACTAGGTTAATGCTTATAGCTCTGAAACGCTTACATGTCCACATACATTTGGCTTTAAAGTGCGTCTAGAAGTAGAAGGACCCATTTCAATCTTATTCCCTATTCAGACGAACAAATAATAGCATAGTATTTTCTTTTTTTGGCCTTCATTTTGAAATATCTGAGTCTGCTCCACCTCACTCTGCTGCTTAGAGATGCCCCAATTAAAAACGTTGTAAATCTGAAATCAGATCGCTGAATGTTGTTTGTGGCTTTGAGCTCAGCGATAACAGAAATTTGCCTGAAATGAAGAAAACATCAGAAACACAATTCAGTCATCATAAAAGGAGCTCAGGATGAAGCAGCAGAGCTGTTAGTATGCAGAGACTGCAACCAGTCTGCTGCATAATTCATGAACCACAAGCACCAAAGCAAGAGCTAAAAAAAAAAAAATCCTGTTTATGGCTGTGTGTTCAAATACATCTGCCAGGGGGAGACAACGTAACACACAAGCCCTCAAATTTATGTTTTACTAATTTATATTATCTATCACAGTCACCTATTTTTGACACTCATATAACAATGATTTCTATCATAATTTGTTATCAGAATAAAGAAACTGTTGAACAATGTAAAAAATTTCCTACAAGCATATTCACCAATTCCACCAGATGAATGTTGTTTACATAAATGGTTATTTAATTTGCTCTTAATGACCAATTACATCTAATAATGAAGGCCTTTGTTACCAAGTCAATTAACCACGAGAACAGCCTGTTACTTTTAGTGTTGATCTGAGCATTAAGTGGGACTGGTTACGTCTTTAAATGTTTAAATAAACGCTGCAAAGATTCAAGCTTTTTTTCAAGTATTTTTCTGAATCCTTTTTCTTTTTTCAAGGTTACAGTAAAAAAAAAATCTTCACAAATTATGAATTACATTCAGTCTTTTCAAGGCAACAGGCTGCTGAATGTTTTCATTTAAACTAGAGATGAATATGAAGGTGTTCACCTACACTTACATAAAACTTTTTAAAACTATTCATTTCTGATTTCAGATGGTTTCATAAACATGTATTTTGACTTTGTGTAAAACAATGTCAGATATTGCCGCTGAACACATAAAATGTGTAACTGAAATCCCAGTTGATGTCATTATTCTTGCCTCTGCCTTCAACAGTAACAGTTCCCCACAGAAATCACGGAGGTTTTGAGTTTCACTCTTAACACTTTTCCTGAAAATAGCCCTAGGAACTTTTTCTTAGTTCTCCACAAACTTTTAGACAAACAATCATATGCCAGAGCCCACAGGAATCCTAACTGTAGATTACTCTGCTAAAATCTACAAAAACTTCCTCCAATAAGAAACCTGTTGTTTCAGATTTGATTTCCAAGAACTGTGACAGAGCAGATTGTCTCTGTCCTCTGTCCTGTTTGGTCTGCCCCGTGTTGCGATATGCTACACTGTACTTGATCACGTTAAATGTTTCCATTACACAAGCTGTGCCCTTGTGCTGCTATCAATTGTGTGTTGACTGACACATTTCATTTGAATGCTATCTCTAAAACACTTGTACTGAAT